TCTGAGGACAACCGTTGCCTTGGCGTCATTGTTACATAGGGGGGGCCACCAGTGAAATAGCCTCAGCCGGCCCTGGGCTGCCCTGAAGGGAACAAGATTCATGGGCTGAGGGTGAGGTGTTCTGGGGAACTGGGGACAGCCTGCTAGCTTCACCTGAGTGACAACCCAAGAACTTTGGAGTCCCGTGGCTTTTGAACTTCCAGAGGCGCCTCTTATTTCCGCCGGTGGTCGGGTGTCCTGTGTTTTGGTGAAGTTCGGTAGAACATTCTGCAGGTATGTTTAACCCATACATACTAGATACCCCTGCTGTCATTTTTGACAACGGGTCGGGACTCTGCAAAGCAGGCCTGTCTGGAGAGATTGTGCCCCGTCATGTCGTCAATTCTGTCGTGGGGCACCCTCAGTGTAACATGCCTTTGTCACAGCCCTATCAGAAACGCTACCTGGTGGGGGAAAATGCCCTGTGCAAGTACGAGGCCCTCCTTTTGCACTACCCCATTGAGCGAGGACTGGTAACAAGGTGGGATGACATGGAGCAGCTCTGGAAATACCTTTTCGAGTGCCATCTGGGAGTCAAATCCTCTCAACGGCCTGTACTCATGACCGAGACGTCCCTGAACCCAACAAAGAATCGAGAGAAGATGGCAGAGGTGATGTTCGAGACGTTCAACGTGCCTGCCTTCTACCTGTCCAACCACGCGGTGGCCGCCCTCTATGCCTCGGCCTCTGTCACGGGCCTTGTGGTGGACAGCGGGGAAGGGGTCACTTGCACTGTTCCCGTCTTCGAGGGTTATTCCCTGCCTCATGCCATCACCAAGCTCGATGTGGCAGGGAGGGACATCACAGAGCACCTCAGCCAGCTGCTGCTCGCCAGTGGCAGCACCTTCCCTTACACGCCCACCAAGGGCCTGGTGGATGACATCAAAGAGAAGCTGTGCTACGTGGCCTTTGATCCAGAGAAAGAGCTTCACAAAAGCCCAGAGGCGCTCCTGAGAAAGTACCTGCTGCCCGACGGCAATGTCATCTCCATTGGGAGCCAGGCGTACCAGGTGCCTGAGGTTCTTTTTGCACCTCACCTGCTCGGCATCCAAAGCCCAGGACTCTCCAGAATGGTTGCCAACAGCATTATGAAGTGCGACAGGGACATCCAGATGAAGCTCATCGCAGATATCGTGCTGTCCGGGGGCACCACTCTCTTCCCTGGGCTGGAGGAAAGGCTTATGAAAGAACTAGAAGAGCTGGCGTCCAGAGGAACTCCCATCAAGATCACGGCTTCTCCTGACAGGTGTTTCTCTGCCTGGATAGGTGCATCTGTCATGACCTCTCTGAGCAGTTTCAAACAGATGTGGATCACTTCTGCGGAGTTCGTGGAGCATGGGACTCATATCATTCAGAGAAGATGCTTTTAAAGCATCCACAGCACGAGGCACAGCTCGAAGTGTCGCAGAAGCACTGGGTGGAGGTGAAATCTTGCCACGGTGTTTAATAAAAGTGATGTGACATTTCGGGTCTCGGTTCATTTTTGTAGGCGCCAGATAATTCCTGATCCAGATAGTGGATATTTTTTGTTTGTCGGGGGTTCTTAAACTGGGTTTATATGAGCAGTGGGAGGTCCTTGAACTCCTTCATAAATACATGAAAATATTGGCTTATTTGCATAAGTACAGTTTTCTAAGGGGTGAGCCTATATTTTGCCACACATATTCAAAGGCCTTAATGACCCAACAGTGCTCAGCAACATGAATGAAAATACCTGAATTCTTTTTATAGATCGGAGTAAGTTTCTGTTATTATTTTATTTGTAGTTGAAGCAGGTTTTTTTGTCCAAGGCCCCATATCGAAGATAATTTTTCAGAATTTTCTATTAGATCTCTAATTTTTTTGTTCTGCTTAATTAATGCCTTCCTCACAATATTTTCTATTAGTGTAGTCAATCTTTCTAAGTGCTTCTATTTCACCCTTCCTGTGTCGTGAACCATTTCAATTGTTTTCTCTTCAGAAATCCTTGGGGTTTGTGTTCAAGCTGTATCCACTTGTAGGGTTTGGAGTAAAAGCAGATTCTTGAGCCTCATGCCCCATTTTTGACTCAGTAGAGTCCTTGAAATCTTCATTTTAATCAATTGTCTTAGATATTTTTGATAGATCTAATGGGAAGGAGAGATACCAGGAAATGGGCAGGGAGGGAAGGGGAATGAAGTAGAAGGAATGCTACCCTGCTTTTAGGGATCAACAGAAGCTGTCACTCAGTTGGTGTTTAATTAGCACAAGGAAACACAATAGGGCTCTCTGTTGTTATGAGATCTGGCAGCTCAGTGGGATGGAGCTGTTGTCTTTAGCAAAGAGGAGAGACGTGCACACACTCACTAATTATTATTACTATTTTTTTATTCCTCATCTGAGGATATTTTTTCCTTTGCCTGTTTTAGAGAGAGTGGAAGGGAGGAAAGGAGTTGCAGGAGAGGGAGAGGGGGGGAGAGAGAGAGAAACAGAGAGAAACATTGATGTGAGAGATACACATAAGTGGTTGCCTCCTGCATGCGCTGGGACCTGGACAGATCACACCTGCAACCTGGGTATGTGTTTTTGACCTGGAATCGAACCTAAGATCCTTTGGTGCACTGGCTGCCACTCTAAGCACTGAGCAACACCAGCCTGGACAAAATCACTAATTATTTAAGGTTCTTTAAACTCAGGACCCCTATTCCCAGTTGGTATATTAAAATTCAACACCTCTCCTTATCGTGTTTTTATTTTTATTTTTTTGTTTTTTTGTACTTACTTTAAAGGATATTTATAGCCTCTTTTTGGTAGGGGTAAATTACTGAAAATATTTATTGGCCATCAATAAATAAATTGTTAAATCAATTATGCATACATGAATTTCTTCACATTAATTTAGTGTTATTTCCCCAAAATATTATTGGGAGAGAATGGAAAATTTAGAGAAGGTTTTGTAATACAATCCCTTTTTTGGTAAACAAAACATTTCTGCTTTCCCATATGGTAATCCTCTATAGATAGATTATTTTATTTTTATATTTATTTGAGAGATCTGGTTTAATAGAATACCTCTGTTTACAGATAACTTAGTAAAACCACAATGGAACCAGAAGATAGTGGAATGATAGCTTCAAAAAGCTAGGAAAAGATTACCGTTGATCTAGAATTATATATATACTCAGGAAAATCATTCCAATAAAAGATGGTAAAATAAAGGTATTTTCTGACAACGACTGAAAGTGTTTACTGTCAATAGTGTATCACTAAAGAACATGTTGTGGGCTCGATCCCCAGTAGATCAGCCTACTGATGATTCTCTCTCATCATTGATGTTTCTATCTCTCTCCTTTCTTCACTCTGCAATAAATAAAAACATTAAGAAAATTAAAATACTGACTGTATAAACTTATAATACTAACCTAATAAAAAGAATGAAAATTCTGTAATACAAAAAAAGATAAATCATGGAAACTGGAGTTAAACTCTTTGAATATACCTGCATTTATCAGAAAGAAAAATTACTCAATCAATTTAATTATTTAAATTGTTGAAGCTGTATAAACTAACTGTAAAAACCTTAAAATTACAAAAAATTAAATAATGACTAAAATTGGAAATATAAAAAGGCAATTATATAAAAAGACTGTGTCAAAGAAGAAATTGTAATGAAAATACTAAGCTAATTAAAAGTGCATCATCACAAAATACTAAAAGATGGGATGCAGCTAATGCTGACATTAGTAAGTAATGCATAGTCTTAATGCTTTCATAAATACAAAGGCCAAATATCAAAGAGCTAAATATCCAATCTGTGAAGTCTGAAAAAGTAAATGGAATAAAACCAAAATTTAGAAGAAAATAATTTCAAAAATAGGAAATCAGAAAGTAATGTGATATAAAAGAGGGAAAATAGAGATTACAGAGTTGATTCTTTATAAAGACAAAATAAATAGATATGCCAATGGAATTATTGATCAAAATTTATAACAAACAGATTTAAAATCATAAAGAATAAAACTAAATTCAATTGAAAATAAGTTAATAAATACAATAATATATTTAAAATGGTCATAAATGCTGATGTAGCAGAAACCAAATGATTTCCCTATTATAAATAACTTTACAGTTAATTCCACAAATATAAATTTCCCTAAGCTATATCTTAAGATAAATATTTCCTCCCTATGATAAAAGTTACAAAATTATTTTAAAATATTGACACAAAATAAGCATGAAGTCTAGATATTTGCCCAGGTAAGTTCTATCAGTCATTCAAAATTTTCATTGTTATGCATATTTTTAATACTATTAACACTAGATTGTAATGAAAAAATTTGCAACATAGTTCTCTCACTTTTGAAGAATGTTGATACATCGTTCAGAACAGGGCTTTATCAGCCTTAACTAGTATTAGAAAATCCAGTAATATAATTAAAATTAATAAATTGAAGGAAAAATAGGGTAAAACCAATAGATGAGATAAAATGGTTTGGATACAATTCAATAGTCTTAATAAATAGAAACAAAAGAAAACACAGCCTTAGAAAACAAAAAATAGATGGTGCATTATTCAGATTTGGTTTGTAGATAATAGAATCTACTCTAACTAGTTCAAGGAGGAAATATTTATTTCTGCAACAGATGATCTCAAAAAATTATAGTGGTTTTGAGCAGTATTTTTCATTTAGAGAATTCTAATTCAATTCTGGCAGTTGTCCAGCACAGTACCCCTCAAGCTACTTTCATGCTGTAGCTTTGACATTTGGAATTTATGGACTCTAGCATCAGATGGAAAGGGAGAGCAGGAGGGTCCCATGAGATGTTTTTAAGATCCAGGGCTTGGAGAATTTTACATCAATTGAGCCCATATCCTTTGGCTAGAATCCAGTTACATATCCTCAACCTAACTGCAAAGTGGCTTGGGAATATAATTTTCTGTATATACAGAAAAGATAAGGGACTTGATGAATACATTGCATTGTATCTGTCACAGAGTGGAAAGCTTGATTCCATTAAAACCTGGAGTGAGAATAGATGGTCTGCTGTCAAAACTACAGTTCAATATTGTAAGAATTTCCCTAGAAAGTACAGTAAGATAAGCCAAATATACACAAGAGGATTCTAATGAACAAAATAAATAGCAGAGGACTAATCTGCGTGATATTGAGGCTTCCTCTTCTCACTTTTGCCTAAAACATGGTAATTGGTTGGTGCATCATATTTGCCCATGAAGGCTATGTATTCTCATTTTGTTGTAGATTTATTTTTATTATATGTTGTACAGTGTATATTACATATGGCATATTATGACATATTGCATATTTTGTGCATATTGCATACATTAGTTTAAACCCGTAGGCTGCCTAATTGGAAATATGGTCTTCCAAAAGGGAACGTAGCCACTGCCAACTTGCAGCCCATTAGAAAGCCAGGAGAAGTAATACTCAAAATTCTTTCTCTTTGTATCCTTCAAGCTTTACTTGTGACTTCTGTATCTTCAAATCAACCATAAGCCAGAGGATAAGGGAGGGAATCAGGTAGATACAGTCAATGGAGGTCAGGTTTCCAGGTCACTAAGAAGAGGAGAGACAATTTGAGAGTGTGAAACTGAATAAAGAATGGGTTCGGCTGCCTGTCACTACTTGGGCCAACTCAACAGAGACATGGTTGAATCATATGTGAGCGTTTATTCCAATAATGCCTGCGGTATGGGAGAGCAGGGGATCATCTACGGAAATCTGCTCTACACCCGCCCCCTCATAAGCCAGCTGCTTATATTGGGTAGAAGGACAAAGATTGCATGGAAAAGGAGGAATTACAGTCATGGGGAAGCAGGCAAGGATTAATGGTTCTAGGTTACAGGCAATGTGGGCTGGGAGTCACAAAGGGCAGGCACCTCAGGGACTCCATTGTTTCTGGAACAAGGTTGTTAACCTTTCCCTGATGATAGGCAGTTCTCAGAAAAGGAGAATGAACTGCATTCCAAGGGTAGTTCCCATGTCCCAGGGCGTACAACTCTCAGCCTGGGTAGAATGCACTTTCTCTAATCAGAACAGAATAATCACGGTTAACAGAGCATGATTAATATTTCTTGTAATTACAGCTAGCCTCCACTTTTCTATTTCTGCCCTAACAAGTAGACATGGAGGAACAAATGGCCGAATTTAGTTACAGATTACCATACAAACTAACTGAGTCCCAATTAGTAATAGTAATTATATATATGCCTATTTTATGCATATTTTAATACTATTTTACATGTGTATATATGTAAACTTTCTCAATTATGAGGAAAATGAGGTTATACAAATTTCCAACTAAAAATAACAAGGTAATTATGATTGAAAGATTACCAAACACGCATACAATTTTTCATCTGAAAGCTATCACCTCAAAAATAATAGAACATTATATGTAGAACATTTACATATTTAACAATACTAGGTACCAGTCACTGTTATAAATATTGAAGATATATTAGTAAGGAATACTGATAAGGTACCTACCCTCACAAAGCATATATTTAAAAGAATAAGATGGAGAAATGAAACGATAAAAGTAGAGAGACAGTAACTATAATATAAATTCATATATTTATGTTTGCAATGGGTAAAAATAAATCAGGATAAGGAAAGGAAAGTGGCACTGAAGAAAGGAAGATTTTTTTTTTGTCAGTCTGTAAAAGAAGCAGCTAGGTTGTCTGGGTTTCATAATCCTCACTATGCAACCGCATGACTACTCTTTTACTATTTTTCTGCACCAGAAAACAAGAGGTTTGGAAACATCAGGCAGATACAGCATCGTGACTATAGTTAACAATGCTGTATTGTATATTTGAAAGTTGCTAAGAGAGTAGATCTTAAAAGTTCTCATCACAAGAAATGAACTGTAAGAAGAAAAAAATATCAAGCTGAGCCACAAGTAAGGGCTTGCCATCCAAAAACTAGCAGAATGACTGCATATGAACCATGAAACA